TATACAATTTTGAGTCATCTCCAACACAATTTATATATTTCATTTTTTGCCACAATAATCTTTCTCTCTAATTTTTATTAACCAATGTTACCCTTTGCCCTAATCTCTAATTTTAATCAAATTTAATTTTTTCCTTTTCTTGATCCAAGTTAAAACCCTTAAATTTAAAATCTCACAACATAATGTATTTCCCCGTATTTGCCTAGATTCCCTTATTCTAATCACAAATATTTTTCTTTGTCAACTTTTCCAAATATTACAATCCAATATCTTACTAAAAGTCACTTAAGTATATAGCATTACAATCATTCATTTCTTTTCCATTTCTTTTTCAAATATATATGTAATCTCGCCAATCGCATGTCTTGATATGTTCCTAAAGCAGAGGTGGTATTCAGCCGGTTCGGATCAGTTCAGGCGAACCGGTAGTAGCGACCTGTGGGTGGACCCACCTGCCCGGACGCAATCCTGTCCTACGTCACTGTGGTTTTGGCACTGCATGAATGTGTGGATGGCGCGTGCGAGCGAAATGCTGTATTGTTTAACATCGCACACATGTGTGGATGGCATGCGCACACTGACATTTCCGGTGCTGGGCAAACCATTGGTGACAGAATGTGAAGGCTGCCTCTGTCCTAAATGATTTATTTCCTAAATCTGAGGTTTCAGTTCCTCCATTAGAGCTTGAGGTTGCTCTGTGATGGTTTGGTTTGGAAAATGACTCTATAGCAGTAATGGCTAACCTTTTTGCCGTCACATGCCAAAAGTGGGGGGAACGCGGGGGGGGGTTTACGCACATGTGTGCCCACACCCATAATTCAACCCCCCATGCCCCACCCCTGCTCATGCGTGTGTGTGACCCCTCCCTTCGCGCTCCCCCTGCTTTTGGCACGCGATGGCAAAAAGGTTACCAGTGGGCCCAGTAGGCCCATTTTTATTATTATTTGTTCAACTTGTATGCCGCCTTTCTCCGAAGACTCAAGGCGGCTTACAATGCATTTAAAAACCATATATAAAAACATTAAACATTAAAACATTAAAAACAATTAAAACCCATTCACACTCCAGAGGCTTTCTTGGAGCCTGGGGAGGGCAAAACGGCCTTCCCTACCACCCCTGAAGGCCCTCCGGAGGCCGGAAATGGCCCGTTTCCCAACTTCCGGTGGGCCCGGAAGGCCTGAAAATGGAGCTCAGGAGGGCTTCGTACAGCCCTCCCAAGCTCCATTTTCACTGGCAGAGGGTTGCAAGAGACTGTCACAGCTGAAAACAGAGCTCGGGAGCCCCCAACACAAGTGATGTCGAGTTGGCCAAGCCCACCCTGGCCACATAACCCTCCCCCCTCCCCCGAGATCAAACACATCCCTGATGCGGCCCTCAATGAAATCAAGTTTGACACCCGTGTCCTAGATCTTCTCGATCTTTCTAACGGGTTTGCATGCCTCGAGAACCCCTCACAGAAACCAAACCACAAGCAGCAGATGTCTTATTTCAAATGAACCCAGGAATGGGTTGTGTAATATCCTGCTGGTGTGATCTGTATGACCCGTTATAGTAGCTTTACATTCTGGCTAATAACGACATATTTTAGTTGCAAAGAAAGTAGAAGAAAGGCAGATGTCTCAAGGGGACATATAAGAATATATTTAGTTGGCCAGCTATTTCCGCAACAGCCCAAAGGATTTCTGTTCACAGGCCATAAATGTGTATTAAATCAAATACTTGGACAGAGGGACGACATGACATTCTTGTCTCTTTGTAAATACTTTCATAGGCTTTTATTTATTTTTCCTTTCTCTTCTTCCATCCTGTCTATGAGTAGTTACTTCTTTCGCTTGCATTCCCCATCCAAGCATTAATGCCGACGCTTTGATAGATAGTCCTTGACTTACAATTGACCCCAAAATTTCTGTTGCTGAGTGAGACAGTTGTTAAGTGACTTTTGTCCCATTTTACAACCTTGTTTCTTGCCACAGTTGTTAAGGGAATCACTGCAGTTGTTAAGTTAGCAACAAGGTTGTTAGGTGCATCTGGCTTCCCCGTTGACATAGCTTGTCAAAAGGTCGCAAATGGTGATTGTGTGACCCCCCCAGGGCACTGCAACTGTCATAAATATGAACCAGTTGCCAATTGTCTGAATTTTGATCACATGACCATGGCGATAGGTGCAACAGTCGTAAGTGTGGAAAATGGGTGTAAATCACATTTTTTTCAGTCAAGGATTAGTGATATTCTCTCTTTCTTTCTCTCTCTCTCTCTCTCTCTCTCTCTCCCTCCCTCTCTCTCTTTCTTTCTCTCTCTCCCCCTCCCTCCCTCTTTCTCTCTCCCTCTCTCTCTCCCTTTCTCTCTCCCCCTCCCTCCTTCTCTCTCTCCCTCCCTCTTTCTCTCTCTCTCTCCCTTTCTCCCTCTCTCCCCCTCCCTCCCTCTCTTTCTCTCTCCCCCTCTCCCTCTTTCTCTCTCTCTCTCCCTTTCTCTCTCTCCCTCCCTCTTTCCCTCTCTCTCTCCCTCCCTCTCTTTTTCTCTTTCCCCCTCCCCCTCTCCCTCTTTCTCTCTCCCTCTCTCTCTTTCTTTCTCTCTCCCCCTCTCCCTTTCTCTCTCTCCCCTTTCTCTCCCTTTCTCTCTCCCCCTCCCTCCTTCTCTCTCTCTCCCTCCCTTTTACCCTCTCTCCCCCTCCCTCCCTCTTTCTCTCTCTCCCTCTTTCTCTCTCTCTCTCCTTTTCTCTCTCTCTCCCTCTTTCCCTCCCTCCCTCCCTCCCTCTTTCTTTTTCTCTTTCCCCCTCCCTCCCCCTCTCCCTCTTTCTCTCTCTCCCTCTCTCTCCCTCTCTTTCTCCCTCTCTCTCCATCCCTCTCTCTCTCTCTTTCTCTCCTAAAAAACTTTGATTCTACCTCACATTTTCTCCAGCAAATTCTATGACAAGAAATAATTAAACCTTTACTACATTTTTTAAAAAAAAGATACCTTTGCAGCTGAGTAAGGAAGCTCTTTGATTTCATTTGCTCTTTGTTTTTGCTTTACAAAGTCAACAAATGATGCGAATAATGGTGAAAAGAATAGGTGCGATCCATCCATCTATTAATTTCACCCAAATGTGATCAAACTACAGGATATGAATTAGTAATTCACAATATAAAGATATTCAAATGTTAAGAGAGAAAAGGGGATTTGTTTTTTCTGGAAATTTGTTTCATAACCAGAACAGCTTTTGAAAAACTGACCACATTGCTTAAAAACATTTCCCCTGTGCAATTGCTAAAAAGGAAAAAAAGGGAAAAAAACTCATACAAATCAGCATTTTTCAAAAAGCCCCTGCTATGAATAAAATGTTGTTTTATCTGGTATAGTAATTATTTTAGCTAAACATTATATGTGGAGGGTCCATAATTCTTGATGTTTTGCTCAATTCCAAATATTGGGGATATAGCCAGGAGGGGAAAAATGAACTCTTAATCAACAGCTGTCACTCTGAAAATGATGTTAAGAATTGCATTAACGTAGGATTAAATTATAGTAATATAGGACAAGCCTAAACAATGGGGCTTGATGTCTATAGCTCTTTAAATTGTGCCTACAAGGCGTTAGTGACATAACTATCAATGGATTTTTTCTCCATCTTCACACTAGTGCAATTTCCCCTTACTATGTTCCAAAACCGACAAAAAAGACACCAGAGAAATACCATACAATTCTATCTCTACAGCTGCATTCAAAAATAGACATTTCTATAGACATTGTCATCATGACAATGGATTCAACTAAGATTTGATATGGTGGTCAACATCCAAGAACTTGCAACCTAAGGATTCAAACCTGTGAAGTATGAAAGTGGTAAATGGTCGGGCAGCAATAAACAGATCACACAGAATCAATAGAAGGGAATATTTGTAGCTCCGGGTTTATTTATTTAATTTATTTCATTATTCATATTTCTATGCCACCCACTCTCCGAGGACTCTGGGTGGCTTACACCAAAGACAGTATACTAAATACCATATTGCCCCCAACAATCTGGGTCCTCATTTTACCCACCTTGGAAGGATGGAAGGCTGAGTCAACCTTGAGCCAGTGAGATTTGATCCGCTGATCTGCTGAACTAGCAGTCAGCTGAAGTAGCTGCAGTACTGCACTCTAACCACTGCGCCACCTCACCATCTCAGCTCGGTTGAACTGTGGGTTCCTTGGTACACTCTGAACTTAATGGTTTTTAGAATAGAACAGAACAGAACAGAATAGAATAGAATTCTTTATTGGCAAAGTGTGATTGGACACACAAGGAATTCGTCTTGGTGCATACGCTCTTGGTGTACATAAAAGAAAAGATACATTTGTCAAGAATCATAAGGTACAACACTTAATGATAGTCATAGGGAAACAGTCAATATAAATCTTAAGGATACCAGCAAAAAGGTTACAGTCATACAGTCATAAGTGGGAGGAGATGGGTGGCGGGAACGATGAGAAGATTAATAGTAGTGCAGACTTAGGAAATAGTTTGACAGTGTTGAGGGAATTATTTGTTTAGCAGAGTGATGGCGTTCAGGAAAAAACTGTTCTTGTGTCTCGTTGTTCTGCTGTGCAGTGCTCTATAGTGTTGTTTTGAGGGTAGGAGTTGAAACAGTTTATGTCCAGGATGTGAGGGGTCTGTAAATATTTTCACAGCCCTCTTTTTGACTCGTGCAGTATACAGGTCCTCAATGGAAGGCAGGTTGGTAGCCATTGTTTTTTCTGCAGTTCTAATTATCCTCTGAAGTCTGTGACTGTCTTGCTGGGTTGCAGGACCAAACCAGACAGTTATAGAGGTGCAGATGACAGACTCAATAATTCCTCTGTAGGAGTGTATCAGCAGCTCCTTGGGCAGTTTGAGCTTTCTGAGTTGGCACAGAAAGAACATTCATTCTTTTCTCGCAGACATTTCATTGCCCAGCTAGGTAACATTATCAGTGCTAGAAGGGAGTGGGGTTTGCTCTGTTTATATCCAAATATCCTTATATACAATTATAAGATAGATAGATAGATAGATAGATAGATAGATAGATAGATAGGTAGGTAGGTAGGTGGGTAGATAGATAGATAGATAGATAGATAGATAGATAGATAGATAGATAGATAGATAGATATTATAGGGTCCTTGGTGCTCTCTAGCTTGGTTGTTTATATATATTTATATGTCACAGTGATAGGGACAGCTTGCAAATACAAATCCACATCATCTACCTGTCCAGGTGGAGCTGTTAGGAGCTAAGGTTGCAGAGAAGGACCCTTTTTAAGGATCCATTTTAAAATGTGATTTTGTAACCGTCTTTTCTGGAGAGAAAAGCCAAGACATCCCACTCACCCTTGTCATAATTTCAACGATTAAAATTTGGACGCCTTTCCCCCCCCACTCCTACTGACAATCAGTCGTGAACCGGGGGGGGGGGGAATCAACTGACTTGAATATGTAGCCTACCTCTTTCCTTCAAACGTCCACAATCAGGACGTAAACAAACGCAGGAAAATTCTTCCAGAGGATTGCAGTAAATCTTAAAATAAGCCCTACGAAAAAACAAGAGAAGGTCTTCCAACAGTTTTCCGACCGTTTCGTGAAGAACAATAGCAGGACGCTGCTAGCTAATATCTCCCCCAAAGGGCGAGCTAAGTATAGTAACAAAAATAAAGCCACTTATTTGTATTGAACACTGTCCCACAGTTGACCGGCTAAATCTCCCCTCTCCAGCCATCTGCTCATCTGTTTCGGGTTTAAAAATGTATGGAGACATTGAGTGTTTTAAAGACAGATTCCGTACTATACCATAGGTTTCATTCAGCCTCTATTTGCATCATTTGGGCTCCTTATCATGTTGTTCCCACCTAACGTTCCCACCTATAATCAAGATCAAGGGAGGTATTAATACCACTCTATAAAGCCTTAGTAAGACCACACCTAGAATAATGCATCCAGTTTGGTCACCACACTGTAAAAAAGATACCTGTCCTTTCTTTCTGGTGATTAAAAGGTTAAATATAGTAAAAATGAAGTCATTTCAATAGAGCTTCCTCTTGGCTTTATAATAGGCCGGCCTGGGTCTGGAGAAGGCAGCCTTTCTCTCCCAGCCTTACCTCTGGGAGAGAGATTCATCTCACCAAAGATGAACAAAATCAAACTTCATTTTAAAAAAAAGAAAAGAAAAATGTAGAATAGAATAGAATAGAATAGAATAGAATAGAATAGAATAGAATAGAATAGAATAGAATAGGTGGAATGGAATGGAATAGGAATGGAATAGAATAGAATAGAATAGAATAGAATAGAATAGAATAGAATAGAATAGAATAGAATAGAATAGAATAAGTGGAATGGAATGGAATGGAATAGGAATAGGAATAGGAATGGAATGGAATGGAATGGAATAGAATAGAATAGAATAGAATAGAATAGAATAGAATAGAATAGAATAGAATAGAATAGAATAGAATAGAATAGAATAAGTGGAATGGAATGGAATAGGAATAGGAATAGGAATAGGAATGGAATAGAATAGAATAGAATAGAATAGAATAGAATAGAATAGAATAGAATAAGTGGAATGGAATGGAATAGGAATAGGAATAGGAATGGAATGGAATGGAATGGAATGGAATAGAATAGAATAGAATAGAATAGAATAGAATAGAATAGAATAAGTGGAATGGAATGGAATAGGAATAGGAATAGGAATAGGAATAGGAATAGGAATGGAATAGAATAGAATAGAATAGAATAGAATAGAATAGAATAAGTGGAATGGAATGGAATGGAATAGGAATAGGAATAGGAATGGAATGGAATGGAATGGAATGGAATAGAATAGAATAGAATAGAATAGAATAGAATAGAATAGAATAGAATAGAATAAGTGGAATGGAATGGAATAGGAATAGGAATAGGAATAGGAATAGGAATGGAATAGAATAGAATAGAATAGAATAGAATAGAATAGAATAGAATAGAATAAGTGGAATGGAATGGAATAGGAATAGGAATAGGAATGGAATGGAATGGAATGGAATGGAATGGAATGGAATGGAATAGAATAGAATAGAATAGAATAGAATAGAATAGAATAGAATAGAATAAGTGGAATGGAATGGAATAGGAATGGAATGGAATGGAATGGAATGGAATAGAAAAATAGAATAGAATAGAATAGAATAGAATAGAATAGAATAGAATAGAATAGAATAGAATAGAATAAGTGGAATGGAATAGAATGGAATAGGAATAGGAATAGGAATAGGAATAGAATAGAATAGAATAGAATAGAATAGAATAGAATAGAATAGAATAGAATAGAGTTGGAAGGGACCTTGGAGGTCTTCTAATCCAACCCCTGCCCAGGCAGGAAATCCTACCCCACTTCAGACAAATGGTTATCCAACATCTTCTTAAAAGTTTCCAGTGTTGGAGCATTTACAACTTCTGGAGGCAAGCAGTTCCACTGATTAATTGTTCTAACTGTCAGGAAATTTCTCCTTAGTTCTAAGTTGCTTCTCTCCTTGATTAGTTTCCACCCATTGCTTCTTGTCCTGCTTTCAGGTGCTTTGGAGAATAGCTTGACTCCCTCTTCTTGGTGGCAACCCCTGAGATATTGGAACATTGCTATCATGTCTCCCCTAGTCCTTCTTTTCATTAAACTAGACATACCCAGTTCCTGCAACCGTTCTTCATATGTTTTAGCCTCCAGTCCCCTAATCATCTTTGTTGCTCTTCTCTGCACTCTTTCTAGAGTCTCCACATCTTTTTTTTACATGGTGGTGACCAAAACTGGATGCAGTGTTCCAAGTGCATTATAAAGTGGTTTTCTTCCTGGATTGTTTTATTATTTCCTAGTGGTCTCCCTACCAATCAGTTCTAATCCTGTTTAGCTTTCGCACGATTGGTAGGCAACGGTATTTTTGGCACGTTTGAGCAGTTATGCGCTAAGCTGATTATTCCTGCAAAAAGTCATTTATAATTGATGACAGATTCCTTGAGGAGCAGATGTCCACTGCGATTACGCATAGCTCCACAGCTGCATCTTTTACCTTACGGACAGACTTTTGCACCGAAAGGTGGCCTTGTGTCCCAGTTTACATTATCCTCTTATTTGACGTGTATCCAACCTAATTCCAATCTAAAGAGAAAAGGAAAAAGCGGTCTCCATCCGCCGTTAGCACATACCATACTCTGTTTTTCGATCATGACGCAACGGGGTTGCAATACTGTCTAAAGCGCCATGTTTATTTCAGCAGATATTTCAACTGGTTCTTCTTTCTGTTTTGCTCGATTGCATATTTATGTTTTGCAGAAGACGATGAAATGTCACCAGGCTGTCTGTTTTCGAGGGAAATTGAAAGAGACTAAAAATAAGTATAGTCCGTAGAAGTGGCAAAAGAAGAAGTAGTATCAATGGTCACTTTCGGTAGACATTATAGAACAGTGATGGCTAACCTTTTTGCCATCATGTGCCCGTGCGGGTGGTTATGGGAGCGACGTGGCGCTCCCATATAACACCTCTCCTGCGCGAGCTGCACTGGCTCCCGGTGGTCTTCCGGGTGCGCTTCAAGGTTTTGGTTACCACCTTTAGAGCGCTCCATGGCTTAGGGCCTGGTTATTTACGGGACCGCCTGCTGTCACAAACGGCCTCCCACCGGCCAGTACGCTCTTCTAACCACTGTGCCACTGTGGCTCTTCATAATTTACAGTGTCCACCTAACTACTCTTTTATGGCAGTGTAAAACCTCTTTCCTGTTATTGCCTCATTGTTGTTATTAATGCACTTGGCAAACCAAGTACGTAACATGCGGAGGCGCAGTGGTTAAAATGCAGTAGTGCAGGCTCCTTCTGCTGACTGCCGGCTGCCAGCAGTTCAGTAGTTCGATTCTCACCAGCTCAAGGTGGGACCGCCTGCTGCCGCAAACGGCCTCCCACCGGCCGGTACGCTCTCACAGAGAGGGACTCCTCCAGGTGCCGTCGGCCAAACAATGTCGGCTGGCGGCCCCCAGGGGGAGAGCCTTCTCTGTGGGGGCACCTACTATCTGGAACGAGCTCCCCCCGGAGATACGGAGGATCCTGGATCTACGCACCTTCCGCCGCGCTCTCAAGACCTTTTTATTTCACCAGCCTGGTCTGGCCTAACCTCTCCTATTCTCTTTTTAATGTAAATTTTAATGTAAATTTTAATTTGTTCTTAACCTGGGGTTTTAAATTTGTCTTGGGCTAAATTGATTTAATTCGATTTTACTTCTGCTCTTAAATTTTTGTATTCTATTGTGTTTTATCTTGTGCCTGTTCACCGCCCTGAGTCCTTCGGGAGTAGGGTGGTATATAAATCAAATAAAATGAAATGAAAATGAAAATGAAAAGCGTGGGGAGTGTGGGGGGGCGCGCGCACACATGCCCATATCCATAATTCAATGCGCCCCACCCCCACCCACTCACGCTCCCCCTGCTTTTGGCACACAATGGCAAAAAGGTTACCAGTGGGCCCGGTAAGCCTGTTTTTCACCCTCCCCAGGCTCCAGAGGCTTTCTTGGAGCCTGGGGAGGGCGAAAATGGCCTCCCTCATGCTCCCGGAGGCTGGAAATGGCCGTTTCCCAATTTCCAGTGGGCCCGGAAGGTCCAAAAATCAGCTGGCCGGTAAGCCCATGCATGCTGGAGCTGAGCTAGAGCAACGCTTGCGTGCCCACAGAAATGGCTCCCCATGCCACCACGGTTATAGAAGGAGCACAAGTAGTCCTTGACTTACAATGGTTTGCCTAGTGACTGTTCGCAGTTACAGCAGCACTGAAAAAAACCTGACTGACAACCTTTTTTTTCACACTTACCTCCACTGCAGTATCCCCATGATCATGTGATCAAAATCCAGAAATCAAGGAAATCACCTGTGCATCGGTGTAGATTCTTAGTCACCCAGGCAAAGTTCTCTGGAAGTTGAGCTGGGGCAATTGAACTTTTTAAAGCACATGCAACTATCACACAACTTTTCTTCTCTTTTTATTACTTTGATGTAGGAGAAGGAACAGGAAGAGACTGGGGGTGGAGTCAAGTGAGTCATCAGCCTAGAGTCCTTATGTCCTCACAAGCAGTCCAACCCTTCTTGAATTCCATTAACTCTTATCTAGTGCCAATTTAGTGCTGACTGGATTCTTATGAATAGGCATGAGCAATAAATCAGCTTAACTGACTTACTGCTCATGCCTATTCACAAGAAACTAGTCAACTAAAAGTCAGTGCTACATTGGTGCTAGACAAGTGTTAAATGAATTCAAGAGGGGCTGACATGTAGTCAAACAGAAGAGAGCCAGTTTGGTCTAGTGCCGTGATGGCGAACCTATGGCACACGTGCCACAAGTGGCACACGTAGCCATATCAATGGGCACCCCAGCTCAGCTCTGGCTCGCATGCCAGCTGAATTTTGGGCCTTCTGGGCCCACCAGAAGTAGGGAAACAGGCTGTTTCCTGCCTCTGGAGGGCTTGGAGTGGGTGGGGAAGGCCTGTTTTTCTTTCTCACCTGGATCCAGATCCTCTCTATGCATCTGGGGAGAGCGAAAACAGCCTTCCCCACCCCTTCGGAGATCCTCCGGAGGCCCAAAATGGCCCGCATATAATTATGGGTGTGGGCACACATCTGCGCGAACCTCCCCGCCCCCCCTTCCTGGCACGCGATGGCAAAAAGGTTAGCCATCACTGGTCTAGTGGTTAAGGCACCAGGCTAGTGACGCCTTAGGCATGAAAGTTGACTGGGTGACTTTAGACCAATCTCCAGGTGACTGAGAGTTCTAATCCCATATTAGACATGAAAGTTGACTGGGTGACTTTAGACCAATCTCCAGGTGACTGAGAGTTCTAATCCCACATTAGACATGAAAGTTGACTGGGTGACTTTAGACCAATCTCCAGGTGACTGAGAGTTCTAATCCCACATTAGACATGAAAGTTGACTGGGTAATTTTAGACCAATCTCCAGGTTTCTGAGAGTTCTAATCCCACATTAGACATGAAAGTTGACTGGGTGACTTTAGACCAATTTCCAGGAGGCCGAGAGTTCTAGTTCAGCCTTAGGCATGAAAGTTGACTGGGTGACTTTAGACCAATTTCCAGCAGGCTGAGAGTTCTAGTGCAGCCTTAGGCATGAAAGTTGACTGGGTGACTTTTGGGCCAAACTCTCTCTCAGTCCAACTCTCTTCACAGGTTTGTTGCTATTGGGAAATTAGGAGGAGCAAAATGCCTTGGATATGTTCACCCTCTTGAATTACTTATAAAAATAATAAAGGCTGCAAACAAACAAACAAACAAACAAACAAACAAACAAACAAACAAACAAACACCATTTGACAGCTTCCAAGATTTTTGCAAAAACCCAAGACTTCTGTCTCACATTTTCTGGGTCTTCTGTAAAGCTAAAGATTTCCTGGACCTGCTGTTAGGTATTTTCTGTAGCGAGCCACCAAGTAGCAAAAGCTATCAGTTAACAACAAGACGGATTAGAGTAGACACTGTCTTTTACCCCTTAATGGCCCTTTGAGCAAACACGATGCAATGGTGATTTTTTTTTGCTAAGTTGTTCCTGTTTTAAACATTGTGTTCTCTTCTGCCATATCCTCTTCTCACCCCAGGGATCATCTGGGTATTTCTTTCTTCTGAAATCCCGGAAAGAGGGAAAAAAAGCAAAAGAAACCACACGGAGGGGGAACAAAGGGAGAGAACAATGAAAACTTCTCATCTGTGTTTGTAAGAGCCCAACTCACAGGATTCATGGGGGGGGGAAGGCCTAAAACCTACAACCTACACTGCAAAAGGATAAACACACAATCAATGGGCATGGCTTGGTGGGTGTGGCAGGGGAAGGATACTGCAAAATCTCCATTCCCACCCCACTCTGGGGCCAGTTCTCCGAACTACTCAAAATTTCCGCTACCGGTTCTCCAGAACCTGTTAGAATCTGCTGGATTTCACCCCTGCTCCAGTGATTCACTTAACAAACTGTGGCAAGGATAATCATAAAATGGGGCAAAACTCACTTAACAACCAGATGACTAACTTAACAACTGCAGTGATTCGCTTAAGAACTGAGTCAAGAAAGGTCGTAAAATGGGGCACAACTCACTTAACAACCGTCTTGCTTAGCAATGGAAATATTGAGCCCAGTTGGGGTCATAAGTCAAGGACTACCTGTATTGAGAAGAAGAAAAACTCACAAAGCAAAGTGAGTGAGATGCTGGTTGGTCAGGAATGTATATCTATTCTCTTATTTCAAAAGCCACCAGCTCTCTTGAAGTTACTCTATAAAGTAATAAAATACCACGAGTTTTGGTTTAGGCCGCTGTATTAACTTAGCCAATTGCAATGTCTTTAAAAATAAATTATGGGAACGCAAAAAACTTGAAGCTGTTTTTGCTGACTTTCCCGAATACTTTTAAACTGTTTTGCATGTAGTTTTAATAATTTTCAAAGTACAGTAAAACATTCACAGTCCTTTAAGACAATCTTTTTCAATAGACTCCCTAAACATTGCGCTAAGCCATAGTTTGACAATGCACAGAGTTGGGCATGCATATGTTTCCATCTAGCTGGGATTATCCTGCTGCATTTCCTGATTGCCTCCAGACTGCCAATGAATTTATTCAAGAAGATCATTATAGAGATATCCAAACCCAAAGTTCATTAAAGATACATCGCATTTGCAGCAGTTAAAAAGATTTTTTAAAAACCCAACAACTTCTTTCTGCTTTCATGGACATTCAGGAATACATGATAACAGAGTTGGAAGGGATCTTTGAGGTCTTCTAGTCCAACCCCTCAGGCCGGAAGCCCTATATCATTTCAGACAAATAGCTATCCAGTCTCTTCTTAAAAACCTCCAGTGATAAAGCACCCACAACTTCTGGAGGCAAGTCATTCCACCGATTAATTGTTCTCACTGTCAGGAAATTTCTTCTTAGTTCTAAGTTGCTTCTCTCCTTGATTAGTTTCCATCCGTTGCTTCTTGTCCTGCCTTTGAGTGCTTTGGAGAATACGTTGACCCCCTCTTCTTTGTGGCAGCCTCTGAGATATTGGACTCTCGGCCTGCTGGAAATTGGTCTAAACTCACTCAGTCAACTTTCATGCCTAAGGCTGAACTAGAACTCTCAGCCTCCTGGAAATTGGTCTAAAGTCACCCAGTCAACTTTCATGTCTAATGTGGGATTAGAACTCTCAGTCACCTGGAGATTGGTCTAAAGTCACCCAGAAACAGAATTGGTTAAGGATTGTATGATAAAATGGGCACAAAACTTTCAGGAAAATATTTGAAGCAAAAAGATTACTGTTGAATATGCAAGTAGGAGTGAGTGATACATCAGCCATCACTCATTGGTTCATTTTCCCTGGTGGGAAAATAAACAAGCATCAGTGGCTGACAGGCTGGACAGCTCCAGGTAAAAGGAGCTGCAGCCTCGGGCAGTTCTCAGTTCGCAGTTATTTTGTTACTATTCTCTGTTGCCTGAAATAAACGGTTGTTTTACTTCACTATGATCATCCTGCCTCTCTTTTCCTGTCCGGACCTAACTATTACTACAAGGAAACACTCAGTTGTCCTAAAAGCATTCAGAAATAATTGGAAACACAGGTGTCCACTACTACACTGAGTAGACCTGTTGTTTTCCAGGAGGAGTGATGGTGAACCTTTTTGCCATCGCGTGCTAGGATGTGGGGGAAGGTTGCGTATGCGCCCCGCCCCATGCATGCGCGTGCTCCCCCGCTCCCCCTCCCCCTGCTCCTGGCATGCGATGGCCTGTTTTTCTCTCTCTCCAAGCTCCAGAGCCTTTCTAGGAGCTTGGGGAGGGCAAAAATGGCCTTCCCCACCCCTACCCCCCACCCTGGCGGCCCACTGGAGGCAGGAAATGGGCCATTTGTCAAGTTCAGGTCCAACCAGAAGTTGGCAAATGGCCCATTTCCTGCCTCTGGAAGGTCTCTGGATGCGGGGGAGGCCATTTTCATCCTCCCCAAATTCCTAGAAAGGCTCTGGAGCCTGAGGAGAGAAAAAAACAGGCCTTCCTCACCACCACCACCCCCCGAGGCCCTCCGGAGGCAGGAAGCAGGCTGTTTCCTTACTTCCAGTGGGCCCAGAAGGCCCGAAAATCAGCTGGCACGCGCCAGAGCTGAGCTCACATGCCCTCTGATAAGGCTACACGTGCCACCTGTGGCACACGTGCCATAGGTTCGCCATCACGGTCTTATGACATTAAAGTCCTACCTCCCAAAATAGGAAGAACGGAAGGAGAGATTTTTGCAGTCCAAAAGGTGCTTTTCAAAAGGCAACTGGATTTTATTTTTATTTTTTTATTTTTTTTGCTTCTCATCCACGAAGCTTCTTCAGTCCTTGGATACAAAACATTTTCAAGGGAAAAAACCAAGAAAGGCGACTTGCCTTTGAAAAGCAGCTTTGGGACCGGGATGATTGAGCGATTCTATATTTTTCATTCTCTTCTGGATGTCAAGAGGTGTCTGCAGAGAATGGGTGTCAAAAAAGTCAAGTTGTGTATTGCAATGCACGATTTTAAAAGAGCAACGCTTCGATATTGGTTTTTAAAAAACTTTCTCCATGCAGATACTCCTGCTGGCTGTTTTAATTACTAAATAAAAGGATTTCTCACTATGACAGCAAGTTTAGTCTAATGGTTTTGTCCAGTTTGGTCTAGTGCTTAAGGCATCAGGCTAGGAACTGGAGATAGTGAGTTCTAATCCCTCTCTTTAGGCATGAAAGCCAGCTGGGTGCCTCTGGGCCAATCACCAGGAGATGGTGAGTTCGAGTCCTGTCTTAGGCAAGAAAGCCAGCTGGGTGCCTCTGGGCCAAGTTTTTTTTTTTTTAAATTTGATTTATATGCCGCCCTTCTCCGGAGACTCAGGGTGGCTTACAATGTGCTAAGCAATATTTATTTTATACAATCCTTTTAGAAAGGATAAGGCTACAAAGTCA